TTTCCCTTCCACTTGATCCCTCGCTCTCGAATTAGTAATTCCTTTTTTCACATTGCTGGATATTCGAAAGCCAATCTGAACCAGTTCGTTCTGGTCACAAATCCATCTATGTCAATGGACTTAAATTCGCCCGATGATATTCAAAGGGAGAACGTGATCTCTGGAAAAGCAAACGCATTTATATATAGATGAGCCCACAATAGAAGCTTGGATGATAAATAAGATAACAACGCCAGCAAGACACAATCATCACTAAGTGATGAAACACAGAGATCTGGCCAATTGATGGCTGTAAATGAGCCTGAGGTTCGTCGATCCATCAAGGATTTATGTCAGCTCATGTGAAACTTGTTTCAATGATCGGCCGGTAGTGGATCCCAAGATCCATCAATGCATGGGTGAAACAAATCGGATGCATGGCAAAATGCGCAACTGCGATGAAACGGATGCTCGGATGTTGGATGTTGACTCAGCGGCTAACTGGTTAGCATCGATATTGGAAATCGATACTGGATCGCGACATAAACAAAAGCCTCGGAATGAAGCTAAAGATTCGATCTATAGATACGAAAAAGGGAAGTGGAGGGAGGGTCAAATTATTTCAAACAAAGCAAAGCAACGCCAAATGCAATGAATGTCTACTTGAGCCAAAATGAAACAGGGAATAACAAAGACTTATAACGAAGTTCCCCATTAAACATAACTGAACAAGTACAGTAAACGTTTAAGGTGGACATTCATTACATTTAGTTATATCTCATACAAGTAGATATAACCATAAAGCAAATCGCAACCAATATATATGTATATATACATACACATATATATATATTAAAAACGGTGCATGAGTTGAAATCGCAAACCAAACACGAAACCGACACAAGGCTTCCACATTTCCCTTCCACTTGATCCCTCGCTCTCGAATTAGTAATTCCTTTTTTCACATTGCTGGATATTCGAAAGCCAATCTGAACCAGTTCGTTCTGGTCACAAATCCATCTATGTCAATGGACTTAAATTCCCCCAAACAAAACTATTGACATTTGATGGATGATAACGCCAACTAACCCCCTATGAACAAGTGGGATTATCCAGCAAATTGGAAAAAAAAAAGGAATAGTAACTACACGGAGCAATTTCCTGTGACGAAACACTATGATGGAAGAGTCCAAGGGATTTGGACATCGGACGGATGCAAACTCGGATGCTGATGTAATTGCCACAGTTGAGAAAGGGTCAGCTGAAAGCGATCATGGAACAGAAAATGGTGAGGAGGATCACCATTGCCGTCCCATCGGCTCAGTGCATCTGCATAATCATTGGAGCGTCCTGGGATATGAGAAATATCTGCATCGATGTGTGACATCGAGAGCAGAAGGCTCAGCTTCTCGAGAAACAAGGCTATGGGCATGTTGGTAGAAAATAGTTTGTTAGAAAGTGATTCTGCCGTGGTATTGTCGGAAAGCATTGGAATTTTAGTGGAATGCGTGATCCTGGAAAATGTTGAATGGTAATATATACCAAAGCAATTTGAGCAAGTGTTTCAAGAGATGCAATGTCTTTTTGAAGGTTATCGTGAACCGGAATCTGTAATGCCACAAAATCTGAATGACATAGGGGGAGACTAAACCAACAGCATTGTCCATTTGGGAAATTGATAACTCCCCCGATTCCCCCATGCTGCCCTGTAGCGAACGCATCTGCAACACATAACCCTGACCATTGGGGCTTCGGCCACATCGATTTTACGGGGGAAAGATTTTGCAACCAACGCAAGTACATTTTTAAGATCCTAGTTGAGGATTGGGAAAGTTTGCGTTTACTAGAATTGGGATCTCGGATCCGGAGCCATACACGCTTATCTGAAAGAGCACAGGTGTGGAGATCTGCTTTAGTTTTCACCGGTTGGTGGCGTACCTGAATTAGCTGGCCATCGACTGGAATGGCAGAAAAAGGGGGTTTATGGGTAAAAACTAATGTGTCTGAAACACAGTTGCAGACCGTCTCCCAACTACCTGGGTCAACAGAGAACTGACTGGCCGGAATGGAATCTGGAATGCAAATCTCGATAAAGGTAGTGCAACCATGTTCGCATAGAAGGCCACAACTGTGTCACCCAAAGTGCCAACCCTAGAAATCTTTCCGGGATTTCTTCGAACAATGGGATGAATGGAGTAGTTTATTGATCAGTTCCAGGAGTTTTGCTCTTTTTGGGGTTGGTAAAACTATAAATCCGGCTGCAAGATGGAATTCCCAGCCTATCCACACGATTGTGGGGCCAAGCTCGCATTTCTTCCATGAGATCGGAAGTCGAAGCAGCATGCACATGATGGCAATGACCGAAGCGCTCAAACCGATGATGGAGGTTTCTTGAAACATCAACAGATCATCAACGTATAAGAACGATGCATGCGGCAAATAGCACATTCTATGGAACAGCCGTTGAAATGCCCCTCCAAGTCTCGACCAAAAATGGGCACTCACCACTGCTCCGAAGGGGCAGACTTTATAGAAATAAATGCGGCCTTTGAACTGGAAACATAAATGACCTCGATACCGAGGATGGACTGCCATGTCTTTTGAGCCCTCAAGGTTGTTTAGAAGGTAACACTTCCAGGTTACACCAAACGTCCTAAACTACGCACGCGTAAACTTAAAACTTTAACAGGTTAAAACTTAAATAGTTTGAAACATTGACTGCAGTGACGTGTGATGCACACTGAATCCGACGGTCTCTTTCTTTTTCGCTGCTGGTCGGGGGATGAATCATCTGGCAATCGGACTGAAGGTTGCTGGATCGCCTTTTCAAAGGCCTCAGCTTTCCAAGTTGTTATCCACCGGATTGTTTCGTTTGAAACCTCAGTGTTAACTATCTGTCATCCTTTTTGGGGGTGGGGATGACTGAAAGGAATGGGTGGGTGCAAAAAGGAAATGGTTGCACAATTTTGTGCTCCCTCCCACCTCTACCCTTGAGTGGTAAGTCCGGTACAAAATAAATAATTCAGTGACACGGGGTGTCAAGATTTCTTTTTTTTGTGTGTTTGACGTTTGGTGTTGTTGCCAGGAAGTTTTGTTTACCTATAACATGAACAACCTTGTACGCTACGTTCCTACGCCGGGCACAAAAAGACAAGGTTTCCATAGTTCCTATGATGCACCTACGTCTTTTGAGCCCTCAAGGTTGTTTAGAAGGCAACACTTTCCAGGTCACACCAAACGTCCTAAACTACGCACGCGTAAACTTAAAACTTTGACAGGTTAAAACTTAAATAGTTTGAAACATTGACTGCAGTGACGTGTGATGCACACTGAATCCGACGGTCTCTTTCTTTTTCGCTGCTGGTCGGGGGATGAATCATCGCAATCGGACTGAAGGTTGCTGGATCGCCTTTTCAAAGGCCTCAGCTTTCCAAGTTGTTGTCCACCGGATTGTTTCGTTTGAAACCTCAGTGTTGACTATCTGTCATCCTTTGCCTTCCCCCGTTGTGAAATAACCCATGTTAGGTCCGATTCCACCCAAGCGACTTCTGGGAATGAAACGCCGTCGACTATCGCTGTCATGAGCTCTGGTGGCAACACAATGTCGCCTGCAAATTGGAGATTCCAAAGGTGGCAGGCCTCGTGGGCCTTTTGTCTCGATGGAAGGTCTGCAGGGTTTGAATAGGATGGTACAGGTATAGTACTATTATCCACCCAAAACCCTCCCATCTATAGTCCGAGATATAAAGGAGAGCAGGGTAAACCGGGATATATTATCCGTATCCAAAGCAGCATATTAAAACGCGTTCTACGCTTTAAAACTTATTAATGTTTTACTTATACAAGTATCCAAAACTTATAAAACCAAAAACCCAAAAACACCAACCAACAAAACAGGTGAAATCGGACATGTACGAACTGCCGTCTCGTTTTGCGTTTGTTTCGGAAACTGCCGTTTCGTTTTGCGTTTGTTTCAGAGTGATCGCCGAACGCAAATTGATGCTCTTTCTTTTTCATCGCCTGATTTGTTAAACATGGTTGGTGTTCCCAAGACCTTCCATTTGGATGTCTGCTTCACCACTTTGTTTCCGGGGTGTTTCTTCCGAGCAGCATCTCAATCCGGGTCTGGGTGGGTGGGGTACTTTTGACCTCCAACCCGTATTGATCCACCGATACTGCATATATATAAAGCAGTGATCATTTTTCCATCCTTAAATAATAAAAACCGTGAAGGATTTCAAATATCCAATTAACCGAAGTTGGTTTTCAACTTGACAGATTATACCGGAAAGTTTTCTTTCTAAAAACTTTCAAGGTTCTGATAAAACCAAAATTCCCATTTCAAATAAATAACATCAGTTTCCAGATTGTTTGAGTTCTGTCATAACTTCCGAGTTACCATGTAACTAAACAGTGAACACAAACAACAAGCACACAAGGGCCGGTGTACCAAAAACCGATGTACCTTCCCATCGATAGATGAGAACATTAATCCGGTAAAAAGGGAACGCGCTACGCTGCTCAGATAATAAGACGTACCAACCAATACGCTATCGCAACAAGTCGCGAGTGCGTACAGGTATAGTACTATTATCCACCCAAAACCCTCCCATCTATAGTCCGAGATATAAAGGAGAGCAGGGTAAACCGGGATATATTATCCGTATCCAAAGCAGCATATTAAAACGCGTTCTACGCTTTAAAACTTATTAATGTTTTACTTATACAAGTATCCAAAACTTATAAAACCAAAAACCCAAAAACACCAACCAACAAAACAGGTGAAATCGGACATGTACGAACTGCCGTCTCGTTTTGCGTTTGTTTCGGAAACTGCCGTTTCGTTTTGCGTTTGTTTCAGAGTGATCGCCGAACGCAAATTGATGCTCTTTCTTTTTCATCGCCTGATTTGTTAAACATGGTTGGTGTTCCCAAGACCTTCCATTTGGATGTCTGCTTCACCACTTTGTTTCCGGGGTGTTTCTTCCGAGCAGCATCTCAATCCCTTTGCAAACGAGGGATCACCACGGCTCCATCTTTCTTTTCTTACTGGCTTTCTTTGGTTTCGGGTTTGAACTCTTTCGTTTCTTTTCCCTAGCCAGCTCTTCGTGAAACTCCTGTGCTTTGTGCATAAGGCTGTCCAAGACCAACCACTTGGTGTCACCGCCAACAAACTGTATACGCTTGTCTGAAGGGAAAGAGTCAAACTTTTGATTGGTCAGGTCGTCTGCAAGCTGATTTAAATCCCTGGGGACCCACTGCAAGTTCAGTTCACAATCTCTCGTACGCAAAGTTTCTGACAACTCCATTATTAAAATGGTAAGAGGAAATTTTGTGCTCATCCATTTGCTAACTGCATAGGCATTGGAGAGATTGTCAGTGCTCCCCTTTACCCAACATGTTCCTTTTCCTCCAGCCGGCAAGCCCTTTGCCCATAGTCTCACTGCTATGAGTGTTGCCAACATCTCCAATGCTGCTATGACCCTCTTTGGATCTTTTCTGAGGAATAACCAAGGCGCCCATGCTTCTTCTACTTCTTCTGAAAACCATTCCCCTATTTGTCCGTCTGAAGTTTGCAGAAAACCTCCAACCCATGCCCCTTTCTCTGTTGCTTTTGCATCTGTATAGAAAATTACATTGTCCTCCTTGCCTTCTTTCAGAGGTGGCGGTGCTTGCAAACTGCCGCCTTCCGCCGTCCTATCCGCCAGAAACCATAGTATGGTCCTCAACATCGTTGGAATCCTAAGCACTCCAGTTTTGTTTCTTATCGCAGCCGTCCAAGAGTATAGAGGTCCAAGAAAAGGTCTCTCCCAGGTCAAAGCATTTGCCGCAAATCCAAGCCTTCCCAAACCCTGCTCCATCTCTTTGGCCGTGACCCGCCCTGTGGTGGCCAATTTGCGCGACCAACCTTCCATCCATGCAGCCCTCTTTGGAGAAAGCCCTAAGCGCATTGTAGTGTAGTCTGTATATAGCCCAATCCATTCCACTTTCAAGCCACCCCGTTGTTTGGCCCATTTGAAGGGGAAACCAAGGGTGGATAAAAACAAGAATGAAGAACGGTGCCACGTCTGCCACGTAGTCCTGCGCCTAAAGATTCCAGGTCATCTGCAAAGATGAGCATTTCTATCGGCATCTCGGGCCCCAAAAACTCATGTACCAAACGGATACCTGCACCAGCAATTCTGCCCCACCAATAGCTTGCTGAAGCTACTCCGAAGGTTCCCACCTTGTTGATATAGATGTGCTTGTCTGAGCTTTTGACCCTGCACGCCAGCAAGCCATGTTCCAAGGGATCGTGAAGAAATCGTCGATGAGCTTTGCTAATATCACCCACAAGGCTGAAGACTACATCGCCTCTGGACCGGTAATAAGATAGCAAGTATCTCTTCTCTCTGGCTCCTGGGCTCCGCTGTTTGTCACGGCACTTAATCCTGTTATTGATTTTAGTTCCATGGGTGGCATCGTGTATCACCCTTCTTTTATTCCCATGAGCTTCTTCCACAAGCACTGCCAGCGAAGAAATAGCGATCCGGTCGCCAAAGCGTTGTTTGGCTTCCTCCAGTGTAAGCTTCTCCATAAGACCCTCACTGCATTCATCATCAAATTGTTGTCTCACAAAGCTCTCGTGGTCGCCTACCGACTCATAGTTATCCCTCCATACTTCAGATTTCATATAGGGATCATCTTCAAGCTTCCAAGATGTCTGCTCCTCGTACATATGGGGAGTTCGCGGCAGGGGTTTTATGACTCCCACCGGAAAACCTTTTTCTCCATCAAGCAAGAACTTGTGATCTGGATCTCCTGCTCTATCCAGCAATGCTTCCATAAGTTTGAGTCTAAAAGGTTGCCCTGCTGCTACCTCTGTTAACCCTTGTGCGCTGTACCCCTCTTTCTCAAGGCAACTGCTCCAAAAATCTACAAGCTGTTGTTTCACCGCCTCATTCTTTACCAGTGTGCATCCTTCTTCACCCTTTGCTGCCATCTCAAAACACATTCTATCTAAGCTCTGTAGACCCCCACATTGTTGCAGTATGATCTCCATGGATCCCTTCCTCAAGTTTTCCCAAAAGAGATCTCTGTTCCATATCCTCTTCTCCAAATCCCATCTGCCTGGTGATGCAAGGCCGCATCCATCGTGAAACCAACGTACTTTGCCCGGCACTTCACACTTTCTGGCTTCTCCTTCTCCACCATAAATTTTCCAACCTTCTGCCATGGATGTGGGGTACTCTTCTTTCAGATCTCTGGGAACATTTGTTGTCTCCGTCACTCCATCGCATTTCTTGTTGTCCCCCTCACCGTAGGCAGTAATGGAGTGTCGCTTTGTCCAAAAGGTCAGAATTTTATTTGCTACCCATTTGCAAAATGCACTAGGCCATTGCTCTGTACCTGCTGTTGTAAAACGACCTGCATGTTGCCCTTAAGCGCCACTGTGGCTGGACGCTTGCTGAGTGGGCCCGCATAAAAACCTTGACTATCAAAACATGGCTCGCCCACCTTGAACAGGTCTGCATCCACCTCCACGTTCTTTAGCAAGAGGCGCGTCGGTTTCAAATAGTCAGTTCCAAAGTCTTGTTGATAAAACGCGCACGTCAGAAAATCACCAGATTCAATCAACTCCCAAAAAATCGGCCATTGCCACATGCTTGCAGGTCTCAGTCCCTCAAATGGGCCATGTTGCACTGCCCCAAGATCCTCTGGGTTCTCAAAAACCAGTATTGCGTCCTCTTTTCTCACAGCTTTGCAAACCTCATATGAAAAATCCGTCATGACGTTTCCCCAGTTGGCCTTCTTCCTTTCCGTCCAGGTAAGCCTTGGCAGCCCTCTTAAATGCACAAACGTACGCACAGGTCTGGGCCCCCTTCTGTTTGAGAAGGTTGCTCGTGTAAAAGTAGAACACGGTGGACTCAAAATGATTGCCGCATAAACTCCAGCCTTAATCTTGTTTAACAAGGACTGTTGGACTGCCCTTTTTGTCATATCCAAATGCGGCCGCACCTTGATGTCCACCATGTCAATCTGTACCTTCAAATGCCACTTAGCGGCAAGCTTCCTTGTCCAGAAACTAACAGACCCCTTACGGGCGCATCCTGAAAACAAGTATAATACCTTGCAAGTGTCTGTATTCTGTGAAACTTTCTGCACCCCCGCATCCAAGAGTCAGGTGCCCGTCGTGTCGGGCGTGATCTTTTCTTTGCAGTTGAGCGCAGTATGACCCTTCTTGAAACACTTATTGCACATGTGAGCAAACTTGCACTTCTGATAGTTGCACTTTCCAGCATTGAACCTGTAACAAATCTTCTCACCATCCGGTCCTTGTCCAGACCCTTTCTGAAATCCTTTGGACTTCGATTTTCCCTTTCCTTTACCCTTTGGGTTCCAGTTACCTGCATTCTGGTTGTTGTTCTGCGGGTAAGCACGTTTTGAATACAAAGCCAAAGGAGTAATGAAATGCCTCTCTTTTGTTGTTGGACACTTCCAAGCCTTCTCCAGTGCCGCTCCCAGCATCAGGCGCTCCGTCAACATAAGGCTGTATGCCCTTTTTCTCACAGCATGTTCGTATGAAAGCACCAAACTCCAGGGAGGTGTCTGAATCTGCTGTCCATTCAAGTCAGTTGAACTCAAGCCCCATACATAGTCACCCAAGATGTAGTCTTTGTATCGATCAAATATGTCTTTTGTAACATCTTGGATTTCCTCCCTGCTAACGTATTTCAATGCTAACATCATCAAGCAGTTCTGCATGACACTGAGGCGACGGCGAAGTTGCTCCGGTCCTGTTGGCATCGCCACTGTGGTGCTTCCCTTCTTCACTGACAAACTTCCTTTGCTGTCAAAAACTGGAACCAATACATCTGGATCAATTTCATCCTTCGAAACCACTTCTGACAAGGTCTCAGCTCGAAACTCACCATTTTCCAGCTCTTGCAGTTTCTTTTCTAAATATTCTTTTGAAGGCATGACTCGATCTTCCACATGTCCAACTGAAGTCTGAAAGAAGTTCTTGAGCTGTACGTAGTCTCCAACTGGAATGGGTTTGGTCCATTCTCTGGAATTCATCTCTGCCTCAACCTCTGACTGACGTTTCGCCTTTGTCACCGTGTCTTTCCATGAACATATCACTGCAGCTACCTTTGCACGGTCTGCTAAAGCGTTCGCAGCATCCACATTGAACTCATCTCTCAGCACATTGACAAGATCTGTTTCATCTCGAAAAAATGAAGAGAACTTGCTAACGCTTGTAACACCATTCTCAAAGAAGTGTGCCTGCATGTCGTCTGGTACATCGTTTCGACTCAAAGTAAATCTCAGGTCTGAACTTCCCAGCTTCAATGATTCTGTCAGTGTGCGCGGTCCCACCACGGCTGGAATTGCCATCACCCTCAACGTTCGGCTTCCGCCAAGTGAGAAAGTATCAACCTGATAATCCATATCGAGTTTAAAAATTTAAAAAGCAAACCAAGTATCAAGACATGATCAACCCCTTTCAAACCCCTTTGAAGTTCCACCAGAAATTCAAATCTCCCCCTATTATTCATCTCATCCAGTTATGCCGCAATGTCCCCAAAAACATATTTATCAAGATGCCTGTCCATTGCACCCATGCCTTTCTTTGCACATGTTGCTCTGAGCCCTTTCCGGGAATCTGCGGATTCCTGATGCTCCATCACAAAGTGTTGTTCTTCAAAATAAATGCTTTCATGCCACTTTCCCCAACTTTCCGGTCAGGATATTTCTAATACTTCCGATCCTGACTATCAATTCAAGTGACATCTCATGGACTCCGTTTTCCGACAGAGTTCAAAATCCCCAATCCGTGAAGCAACATGTGAAAGACATGTGTGGCTCTAAAACAACATCTTCTTTTCCGTTGACCTATGAAACTGACATCCCGGCGTGAAACCATGTGAAACTTGTCAGCAGTTCGAAAAGTGAAAACGTCCCATCTTTGAGGACTTAAGGTCAAGCTGCTAGCTGCTGGAGGAGCTGGATTTTGAAGATTCGCTTGTATCTGAAGATGTCTCACCAGAACTCTCTTCGCCCTCTTTCACCTTCGGCCAGCATACTCTGCACACATGTGTGTACTGCGTCTCTTCCGGCTTATCCTCAAACTCCTGTGAATCTTTGAATATCTTTTCTCGTGCCATCCAACATCCCCCCGCAGCCTTGTGTAGTCTCTTGCAATTCCTTGCAGTCGTTACCACAATGAAACCATTTTGCCTCTTGGTCTTCGGCTCCTCTGATCCTTCTGGATCTGGAATCTCCTCCAGAGTCTCTGGCTGTTCCACGTCATCTTCATGACCCTGTTGTGTGAGCGGTTCAGCCTGTATCGCAAAGGAATCCATAGCTGCCATCAAGCTTTGCAATATGTCATGGCGTTCCTGTTCAGCAATCTCTGTTTTCCTATACCTCAACCAGGCTTCTGCACTTTCAGCAATATCTATTTCATCCAGAATCCTGAACCTATTCGGTTTCCTGAAAGCTTTACCACATTTTCCTTGTAGTTGTGCAACCAGCCCATTGTACGATCTGATGTACGTATCACTAGCTTCGGGCTTCCAACGTCCCACCAGATCCCTCTTCTTGTTCTCAACTCCCAACATCGCCAGCGCTGTCGGAAGTGTGGCCCGCTCACTGTGTTCAGTCCAAAAGGATGACAAATCTTCAGGCAGAATTGTATTGAAGTCGTAATAGCTGGTCAGTCTCTTTCTAAGATGACATGAGTATGCAGTGACATCCTGATAGGTAGCATATTTCTGTTGAAATCCACTCCAATCCTCCGTCAACTTGGGAAGCAAATAATCCCTTTCGAAATTGGCATACCTCTTCAAAAGATTGAAGCCCTCTTGAATCCAGTCTACGTCCCAAACAAAGGCATATTCTGAGATGCAAACCGGCAATTCCTGCACACGCTTACCAGGACCTGACGTCTTAGTAACCCTCAACGTAGTTGTCATCCTACCACCTGTCAAATGCAACTGCGACGGGTTGATCTTCTGCATGTCATCAAAACGTAGGGCCCCCCAAATCTTCAAAAGTTTCACCCAAGCCATGATTCTCATGCCCACTGAAAGCTCTGTGTCAATGACTGTTGCTTCCAAAGACTCAATGACCACTGATGGATATCTGGGTGCCCTGCGAACTGGAGGTGCTTCTGCTGCCAGCTTCTCCGTTATATAGTCTCTCACTTGTGCTACTACCCTCGAGGTAGCAACCATTTCTGCTTCTTTGAATCCAGCTATCTTCTCAAACCATGCCACGGCTTTGCAAATGAAATTTGGTATACTCGCACCACATGGTTCATCAAAGCGACAAAATCCGCCCACACCGCTTTGGCGGTGAAGGCGTGCTTATTGGGGGGCAACAGCAACACTAAATGCTCAATGACATTTGTTAATATAGCAGTCGCTATATCAGCTTTAGCTGGGGGGGGGGGGGTTTCGCACCGAGACCAGAACGGTTTCGCACCGAGACCAGAATACGGTGGTGTTTTCGACATTTTTCGAGGATTTTTGGGTGTCTGAGCGCAAGAGGGTATTGAAATGGAATTTTGGGTCATTTTGGTAGCTTTCCGGCAATGGAAAAACGGCCAAAAATGAAAAAAACATTGTACATAGCAAGATTTTGCAGGGTTTTTGGATGCCAGAGCATTGAAAACACTGCAAAAACAAGTGTTTTGGACTGACGTTATAGCAAAAAACGTGTAAATTACCGTATGCTTGACTGGAAACATTACAAAAACACTGTCAAAAGCACTGTTTTGGAAGGATTTACTGCCTTTATGGCAAAAAACGTGTAAATTACCGTCTGTTTGACTGGAAACATTGGAAAAACACTGTCAAAAACAATGTTTTGGAAGGATTTCTTATTGAAACTTCTTAGCTTGAAGAGCCCCCACCGGGGAAAACCACCCTTAGCCCCTCTCACGGACCGAAATAAACCTGCGGTGTGGGCGGCCACCCCACGCGAAGCGGGGTGAATAAATACTCGCAAAGCATGCCAGGGTGATTCAATGCATCGGCACCCCAAGTGTTGCCTTTCCAAACTTGCCAATCTCTCCACGCCTTCAAGTACCTCTTCAAGGTGCTCGATCTGGTTTTCCCTGCTATGGCAACATGCAAACGTTCCTGTCCAATGCAAAACTGAATCCCTTGCAAGACTGGTGCATTTACCTTGACCAACTCTTTATACAACTCTTTGGACCACTTATCTTTTAATGTGGTCTCATGTTCTTGTTTGGCCATGGCTTGATCTCTCCTGACTCTCTGTCTCGCACTGACCGGCATCCAAAGTTCATCGACAAGCCTAGTGCCTTTAGCATGACTAGAACTTGAACTGGAATTTGAAGACATGAAACTTTGGTGCAAAAAACTTCCAATCTCGAGTGGATCTTGTTGGAGGTCTCCACGCAAACGCTTCTGGTAAGGCTCCGACGCTGAAATTGTTTGCACCCATCCGGCTACAATATCTACATGCAAACCTTCACAAATGACTCCTAAATGATCACAGATCTGCCCAGCTATCACTCCAGACTCAGAGACATCGAAAACTGCAAGCTTCTTCTCATCCAAACCAAATTTTTGCAACACATTCCACATGACCTTTTCCAAGCAATCGTCCTCCATCGGGTGCACAAGTGCGCCGGGGCTCTGCCGTTACCCCTAAGGTACTTTTGACCTCCAACCCGTATTGATCCACCGATACTGCATATATATAAAGCAGTGATCATTTTTCCATCCTTAAATAATAAAAACCGTGAAGGATTTCAAATATCCAATTAACCGAAGTTGGTTTTCAACTTGACAGATTATACCGGAAAGTTTTCTTTCTAAAAACTTTCAAGGTTCTGATAAAACCAAAATTCCCATTTCAAATAAATAACATCAGTTTCCAGATTGTTTGAGTTCTGTCATAACTTCCGAGTTACCATGTAACTAAACAGTGAACACAAACAACAAGCACACAAGGGCCGGTGTACCAAAAACCGATGTACCTTCCCATCGATAGATGAGAACATTAATCCGGTAAAAAGGGAACGCGCTACGCTGCTCAGATAATAAGACGTACCAACCAATACGCTATCGCAACAAGTCGCGAGTGCGTATCCGTTCGTACCAGATGAAGCAAGGCATGGCTGCCTCCATACAAGCACAGGCATGGGACATCCGAAACAAAGGGTCGGATGCTGAACGCCCTTTGATTAAGACGTACCTGCAGGGTTCATTGTCGATGAACAGGAGCAAGCGACGTCCCTTCAGTAAATGCCTCATTTTCCATCTGATACAAAGCACTGCAAACATTTCAATTTGGCATATCAATTGATCCCCCACCAAGGTTTTCCAAGCATCCAAAAGAAACATTGGCACGGCCCCTGCGAAGCAGAGTCTTGTCGAGGTCAGGGTGTCCACCACGATGGCGCCCCAGGTTGCCCTTTCTGCATCGAAGGCGCCGTCGGTATAAATTATCACAGGTGAAAAATTTATGGGCAACTGTGAAAAACGTAAACCCAAGTACACCTCTCGTGTACCCAAATCGACGCTTTCATAAAATCACTACGCCAGACGCAAACACCTACTGTGGTTGCGACTCCGCAGTTACTTGCTTCTCTGCAATATCAAATAAAGGAACTTGTTCCACCCCGACTCCTAAGTGCACGTCAGACTCCTTCTTTTCTCTCCAGACGCCACACACAACGGAACAGGTCAACAAGAACCAGGGCAGGCACACGGCCACAGCCCACAAACAAAGAAACGAAGCAAGGAAGATGTTCCAGTGTGGCTACTGTTTCAAGTGCCCTAGGTGACACTGCAGTTCATGTTCTCTTCGGAACATTTGACACCACTCCCTTGAGCCGATGTCTCAACTGGGAAACTCGATTCCAGGTTTCCAGTACACAACCTTCCCTCAAAGGTTGTTGAAACAATTCCAAACTGCTATGATATACAAATCACCTAGTCACAAAAAGTCAGAAACATTTCCAAAAGTTCTCAAGTCAAACTGGTTCTCGTCCAAACGCAAATAACCAGCTAGCCGGTGTTACTAGTCTCTACCAAACGTCTAGACTAGTCACACGGCTAGTTAAGAACGAAATGTTCCACTCAAATTCCTATACAAAATCCTCTTGCAATACAGAACAACATGGGAACCTCATGTTCCATCTCCAAAACAGTTCTTCGCACAGAGATGTCTTCTCATAGTTCCAAACCGTCGTGGAGAGTAGACTGTTCTGCTCGACTTCTCAACCAATATCCAGTCATAAACAGTCATAGCGCTAAAGTAGTTCGCTTACTGTCATAACCAAAAGTCAGCACCAAGTTACATGCATCAAGATCATAATGCAGCTCTCCAGATCAAGTATCTGGAGGCTGAATAAGATACGTAGGCATTGTCCTCACAATGTCGAAGTATCTCACATACTCAAAAGATCTGCT